GCAGGCTGAAAGCTGGTTTCTGGGGTTTTGTTTAGCTTCTTATTTGCAACATAGTACATTGTTGCTTAGAGTTGCAACTCAGAGGCCGGCAACGTTGGAGTCTGCAGTCACTGAAGCAAGGAAGCCTCATGTTCGCTTCCAGCTGCCTGGCTGCTGGCCGCCATCTTGGCTGACAGTTAATTTGCATAAGGATATGCTGATTAGCCAATGGGAAGGGTAGCGGTCGTACGCCAATTACCATGTTTCTCTTTTATTAGTGTAGATGGTCATTACCCTTAAAGAACCTTTTATAAGGCTGGGAAACAGGAGAAAATGCATATGAGTAATTTGGGAAAATTACTCATCAAAAAGTGATAGTGTCAAAAGAGCAGTATCCTTTATTGTATCAGGTGAGAGAAAGAAAACTGGGGATTTAAGTGGATAGAAAAGTCTTTATAAAGGAACATTGAAGAATAGTTAGGTTTGGGATAAGAAGGAAGAGCTATCTAGGAAGGGGACTAGCCTCAGCAAAATATCATAACAGAAATATTGTCATCATTCTCCCTCTTTGTCCCTAAAATATTTTGAATCAAGAAATCACCTTTTTGCCAGTTCTTAAATTTAAATTGAGGCTGGGAGAGCTATCCATTTCTATCTCCCTATAAGACATATGTAGGTTTTCTGCATTTTGGATATATGTAAAATACATTTTAAAGGTATATTAAGTAATCATAATAAAATTGTAATGTTTGTAGACTATTAAGTGGTATGGTGTTAAAATGCAGTCTATGTATCCTATGTAATAAAAGCCCAATATGCTAAGTATCCGGTTGTCCATTCAACCAATCAAAGCGTAATATGCTAATGATATGCTAAGGCCGCTCAGTCGCTTATTATGAAGTGCACTGACCACCGGGGAGCAGACAGTTGACCAGTTGCTATGACGTGCACTGACCACCAGGAGGCAGATGCTCCGACTGGTAGATTAGCTTGCTGCTGGGGTCCAGCCAATTGGGACTGAGCAAGACAGGCCAGACATGCCCTGGAGCCCTCCCGCAGTCCCTCCCTGGCTGGCCAACCTCCTGTGTCCCTTCCTGGCCCTGATCATGCACCGTTGGGGTCCCTAGGCCTGGCCTGCGCCCTCTCACAATCTGGGACCCTTCAGGGGATGTCGGAGAGCCAGTTTCAGCCCGATCCAGTAGGCCTGGCCGAGGGACCCCACTGGTGTAAGAATTCGTGCACCGGGCCTCTAGTATCTTTATACTAGTAAACCTTTAAAAAGGATAGCCTTTCACTACAAATTTTTAATTTGATCAAGTCTGTTATTTGCTTTTATCAAAAGTCCATTACAGTCTAATCACCATTACCTATTGCATTTAGCTTGTTATAAGAGATTTTATCTTCTATTTATACTTCAGTTTCTCAGTTTACTTTTGTTGTGATTGTTGGCTGTAAAATTTAGATCTTGAGGAAATGGTTAGTTTTATGTATTATACAACAAGTAGTACATCTGTGTATATGAAAATGTATTCTTAATGTCCTGTCACCATGCCTAAAATAAAAATTGAGTCAGAGCTAAGGACTATAACATCTTGTTTTAGGGCTGGTATTCTAGCATAATTATTCCTAATAGAATATTTAATTCTAGATTTGGGAATGTGTCCTAGAGTATTGAGGCTACTAGGACAGACTTTTTTTTTTTTATAATATGTTTTTATTGAGTTCAGAGAGAGGAAATGAGAGGGGGAGAGAGGGAAGAGGGAGGAGGAGAGATGGAGGGGGGGGAGAGAGAGAGAGAGAGAGAAACATCGATGAGAAAGAAATATTAATTGGCTGCTTCCTGCACTATTCTTCAGTGTTCTTTTATAAAGACTTTTCTATCCACTTATATCCCCAATTTTCTTTCTCACCTGATACCGGGGATTGAAACCAGGACATGTGCCCTGACTGGGAATAGAACCAACAACCTCTTGGTGCATACATTGCTCAGCCAACTAAGCCTTTCTGGCCGGGCTAGGACAGATTTTGTTCCTGTGTTTAAAAGTCCTAAAACTGCTGAATATATTTGAATTATCTTTAACTTTTGGTTAGGGTTCTTACTTGCAACCTATTAGTCTCACTAAATGGTTATAATTTCCTTTATGAAGTGCCTTTATATGTATTCTGCATCTTTACCATATATTTGGAAGGAAAATATAAAAAATGCAGCAAGGAGAAATACCCAATTGCCTATCAAGGAGAAGAAAAGGAGGACTAGTTGGTGCCTTTCTCTCCTCTTTTCCCTGGTCTCCTATGTATCCTGGACTGAGAGGAAATAATTACTGTGATTTAGACTTCAGCAGCTGCCTTGTTGCCCAATTTCCCAAGGGTCATTTCACTAGACACCTAAAGAAAATTTTAATTTATTTCTTCTCCATCATCACTTACAAATCCCTTATCTGTAAGGAAATAAATATATATTATATATTACATATATACTCTTACGTGTATACTAAACATTGGGATTTATTAGTTTTTACAAGATTTTAAGAATCAGAAAAAAATGAAAGCTTAAATTTGAATAAAATAATTCTTTTTACTTTTACCTTCCATTTCTATTCATTTAGAATGTATTATGATACTCACTGTGAGGTTTACATACCTAGTCACTATGGAGAATGCAAAGACAGTCTCGGGGATAAGACATACATATGAACACAAACTGTCTTATAAAGCAGGTTTTGATTGTGATTGATTAAAATGAATTCTGTAGAAATTTCATTAGCTAGGGATTTTTTTTTCTTCAATTTTTCTGCAAAGTCTTTCCAGCAAAAAAAGGTTCATTTGTACGAAGTTCTGAGAGAGGAGATCAGTGATGAAGGTGATGGGGAAAGGTATTTCAGGTGAAGGAAATAGTATGACTCATGCAACAGAGAAAGAAAACAGAGCTTACTTTAGGAGCAGCAAGTTGATCAATTTGACCAAAGCAGTAGTTTCCTTTGATGAAATAATAAAGGTCAGTCTGGGGTGACCAGAATATAATGGCCTAAAAATACAGGCTAAAGCACTAATTTTTTATGTTGTATGTCACAGGGAGCCATTGAAATAAATGCCATATCAATATAATTTTAGGAAAAACCTGTCAGTTATAAAGTGGATCCATCCAAAGAGAGAATAGAGTCATAGAGCACAGTTAGCAGGTTACTGTGATATGGTGGTTTTGAGATGACAAAGAGCTGCACCAAGATATTGGTGTTACCAAATTGCAGAGAATGGAAAGAATGTAAGAGGGGAAAAATGCAAGTGAGGATGGATGGTACAGGGCAGGCAGTTTTGAATAAGACAGTACGACCTTGAAGACCTGACATTCTAGTCAGAGAGAGACAAATACAGTGGGGCCTTAAGAGTTTAATTCGTTCCGTGACGGAGCTCGTAACTCAGATTACTCGTATGTCAAATCATTACAGTGAATGAGTGAGACACGTGATGCTGGGCTGATGTTGTGGCATTCACTGTGACGTTCGCTGCGCCAACTAGTGGTGGGGTATCTGAAGCTGGCTCGTAACCTGAATTTTAGCTCGCAACTCAAAGCGAAAAATCGGCTGAGAGACAGCTCGTATCTTGAAAAACTCGTTAGTCGGGACACTTGTAAGTCAAGGCCCCACTGTATTCAAAACCTGATTACAACACACAGTATGAAAAGTGTTAATTGAGTACATACATAAGACAGTGGCTGGTTCTAAACAGGGCATATGTTGCAAAGAAAGTTCCTCAAAGGAGGTGACACAATTAGGAATTTGGGTAGGAAAGGAGGGTCTTGTAGGCAGTAGGAAACCATACAAAGACAAAGTTATGAATGGGCTTAGAATTGTGGGTAGTTCAATATAACTAGGGTTTATGGTAATCTACCGGAGTGGTAGATTTATTGAATTGAGACCTTGAGGAGAGGTGAAATTCACACAAAGATCAGGCAGACTTTGAGCCAGGAGAACTAAGAAGTTGGAAGGAGAAGAAACTAAGTGGATGGGCTGGTGATTAATTTGATTCTGATCTCTTTCCTTTCCACTAATAATTCAGTAAGTATGTACTAAGCACTTACCATGTGCAAGGCACTGACCGAGGCACTGGGAAAGCAGTGGTGAACAAAACAATGCCTGTGCTCATATGTAGCTTCCATTCTAGTGTGGGAGACAGAGCACACACAAAATAATCAAATGTCACGTATAATGTCAAGTAGCAATGTTTGCTATCCTATATAATAAAAGGCTAATATGCAAATTGTCCCCTCGGGAGTTCGACCCAGAGACCAGGCGTTCGATCGCTCGCTATAACATGCGCAGACCACCATGGGGCAGGGCGCTGAGGGAGTGAAGGAAGGGGTAGGCGGGGAGGCCAGAAGGCGGGGAACCTGATTGGCCCTGATCGATGGCCAGGCCTAGGGACCCTACCCATGAACAAATTCCATGCACCTGGCCTCTAGTGAAGAAAATAAAGCAGGGTAAGGGAGTAGAGAATGATGGAAGGAGTGCCATTTTAGAATGAATGGTCAGAGGAGACCTCTGAGGATGTAACATTTGAGCCAAAGGCCTGAGTCAAGTGAGGGAGCCATCTAAGTGGATATCTGGAGGTAGAGTATTCCATGTGGAGAGAAAAGCAGATGTAAAACTTCTGGGGCAGGAACATGGGTGGTGTTTTCCATTAACTTCAAGAGGGAGAGGGACAACGTGGTTTTGAGGGAGAGAGAGCAGTAAGGAATGAGATCAGAGAGGCAGTCGGGGGCCAGAGTGTAGTAAGGACCTTGGATTTTATTTAAAGACTAGAGGCCCAGTGCATGAAATTCATGAATGGATAGGGTCCCTAGGCCTGGCCAGCAATCTGGGCCAATCGGGGCCTTTCTTCCCCCTGCTGCCAGCTGCCATCCAGGGTCTTCCTTCGTTCCATGCTGCCCTCTGGTGGTCAGTGCATGTCATAGCAAGCGGTTGAACTCCCAGTCAGTTGAACTCTCAAGGGGACAATTTGCATATTCGCCTTTTATTATATAGGATTATAGCAAGCCTTTGGCGGGTTTGTACAAGACATGATTTTTGTTTTAAAAAGATCACTGACTACAATGTGGGGAATAGACTATGAGGGTGAAAATTGGAAAGGGAGACTCTTAGATCAGTCAAGAGAGGATAGTGATGTGGACCCGGCTGCCAGCAATGGAGGAGATCAGAAAGTGAATGGCTCTTGGGGCTATTTGATGGTTAAGCCAATAGGATTTAATACATTTTAGGCATTGTATAATGATGAATGTGCTATATTCCTTAAAAATCAGAGAAATAGATATGTAGTTAGATAGATATCTGGATATAGATATGTATTTTCCCTTTTTCAGGTTTGATTACTCAGGAGTTGGACAATCAGAAGGTAACTTAGAAGAGTCTACAGTAGGAAAATGGAGAAAAGATGTTCTTTCTATAATTGATGACTTAGCTGAAGGACCACAGGTGACTATTTTTGTTAAATATGATATCATTGTTGATGATACCCTCATGATATTTGAACTGTTTCTTTGATATGAAAATTTATTTAAATTTTAACAACCAATTTTGATATTTGACTTAAAATTGTTCTGTCATTTTAACTTCCTCATAAAATGTAAGTACCATTTTACTTATTTTACCTATTTTATTGTCATAATTCTCCATTGTAGACCAAATACTTTAACAAAAAGTAATCATAATTTTAATTCTACTTTGTATCAACTATTAAAAGTCTGGGAGCCAAAGGATATAAAAGAAAAAAAGTATATAAATTCTATTAAATTACTCACTACCTTTATAGAAAAGAAAAAAATTGCTCTTTAAAACTACACATATTTTCAATTTTAGATACTAGTTGGATCTAGCCTCGGCGGATGGCTTATGCTTCATGCTGCAATTGCACGGCCACAAAAGGTGGTGGCCCTTATTGGTATAGCTGCAGCTGTAGATGGCCTAGTGACAGAGTTTAATCAGCTTCCTGTTGAGGTAAGTCATAGGCATACCTCCTATCATCCTTCTGCTTCCTCTTTCTTGGAATATTTGTTCATGTGTCATCATTCCTGTGATTTACTATATTGGCCGATCTTTTGTCTTAGCTGCTTTTATAAATACCATCTCTTTGCTTTCTTTACTATTTAGTCTCTTGTTTAAGGTTTCCTTTTCTTCAGTCTCTTCAACTCATTCTGGCAAATGTTGGAGCCATATTAATGAAATAACACTTTAAATGTCTTTTTTTAGCAACATTTTCTTTATTAATTGCATTTACTTATTTTGATCATGCATCATGATCTCTTCTTTTCCTCTTTGTGGCATGTGAGAAATAGTACCTATTCTTATGACCACATTAAACTTGACTAATCAATTAGGACTTCTTTTTTTTTTTTTAGCCTGTAAACAGCCTCAGATCCTCTCAGCAGAGCTCTCCAAGAATTAGCTCACAGGAGATGAGATAGCCAGTTCTGTCTTAGATATTTAGTTGACATTCTTTTTTTACTCCTACTTCTCATCTTCAAAGAGAATACTTTTTCATTATTAGTATATTCCTCAGCAAAATATGGTAGAATAAGGTTTCTGAAATAACTGGGAAGGTAATTAGTTTATTATACTTTATTATTGGACATATGTTTAAGCACTTCAGTTGTCTGCAAGGGTAAAGAAATAGTGGGCAATAGTTGTTTATTTTTGTATATGTTATTTATTTATTACAATCTATTGAGTTTTCCTTGGGCATCTTTTCTTAGGGATCTAAATTTTACCTGTGGTACTAAGATCCTGGCAAGCCTGTGGCCCGGAAAATTAGAGAAAGGAAAATAGTCTAGAGCAGGGGCTCAAAAAGTATAGTCCCTAGGCCAGCAGCCTCAGCACCTGAGAACATCTTAGAAAGGCATATTCTTATGGTTCTTGTCCGTTTTCATTTGACTTATTTCGTTTAACATGACACTCTCAAAATTCAAATGTTGTTGCAAATGGCATTTTTTTTATGGCTGAGTAGAATTCCATTGCAAATATGTACCACATCTTCTTGATCTAGTCATCCATTGAAAGATACTTTGTTTCCGTATCTTGGCTACTGTGAATAGTGCTACAGTGAACAGTGGGCATAGGGGTGCCATGTAATTTCACTCATATCTAATCTAATAAAAGACAAACATGCAAATTGACCGTACCTTCACTATGCCTTAAGCCACGCCCACCAACCAATCAGAGCGACTATATGCAAATTAACCCAACCAAGATGGCGGC